CACCCTGTACTCATGCTTCAGTCAAAGCTGCCTCTTCAGTGTACACTCAAAAGAGAAGCTAGTCTGCAGAGCAAGAATACCCAGTTTTAGGCCATTGAGACTCCAATATTGGAGAATTTATGGTCCAAAGACACTGTCATATGCACAACTGACCATGCTGATATTTCAGATGTTGATACTTCCATCTCTTACAATGTTAGTCTATCTAGTAATCCTGTGGTTTGCTTCCATTTCTTCTTCATGGTGCGGTAAGAATATGGGAAAGGAAAAAAAGGAGCTAAAGAAAAAGAAAACATAATATGCAATGTAGCTAATTTCCATTATCTTATGTATCTTCAGCAACTACATAGCGATTAGAAAGGTGATTCTCTTCTCTCTTCTGAAATGCATTCTCAGCATAGGTAATGTTATCCAATTTGTCACAGTTCCCCTTCCTCATCATGATTTTAGGAATCAATTGAGTTACTTCTTTGGCCTCTGACATTGCTTCCCCATTGTTTATCTGCTCAAAACGAACAACACTAACCTTTCAGGCATTTGCAACTAATACCTGCACCAAGGACAACAATTCACTCACATTAATCGATTTTTCAATTGAGGCTCAAGACTTAGTCTTATTAGTCTATATAATTATCACATGTATAATTTTATTTCCAATTAAAATGTTTAAACTTGAATGTCACACAAAAATGAAGCATATGAATTATTATTATCAGTTGCTAAGTTTAATTTACCAAACTGAGCCACCAAATGAAGCATCCCATAGGATGAGCAATATAAAAGCAGATTCCTCCATGAACAAATGCATGACCTCATAATAGCATTCATTTCAGAAAGTTACACATGGAAGAGACTACATGATTGCTCGCTACATGCTTTTTCTTTCCTAGTTTTTTTTCACTGAAATCCATTCAGTGCTTTTACCCTACCTCAAGTCTATATATTTGATGCCTTCACATCTTGATGATTGGATCCATCTTCATCGTGCTTATCATCATCATCA